AATCTCTTACGTGTAGGTTCTTCGTTAACTTCCTTCTTAGAAGGAGCAACCTCTTCTTTCTTGCTTGGTGGAACAATCTGAGGCTGTTGAGGTTGAGGTGGTACTACCTAATAAATGTATTTTTTTTAATTGATGGAATGTGTCACATAAGTATACAAGTGTATAGTAAACAATATATGTACTATATACACATGTAAATAAATCAAATGATCAATTCCTCTTATAATTCCTGTGAATGTTAATAAATAGTTTTAAAATGATAAATTAGTTTTCAAATTTTTTATTTAGAAACTGCTTATGCTTTTTACACAAAAAATATTTTATGTTAGAAAAAAAGATTATTAAAAAAAAATATTGCGAAAGCTGATCAGTATTGAGAAAATTTACTAGAAAATAATATTGAAACTTTTTTGGGGATTAATATCTAAAATTAATATATCTAAACTTGTTTAAAAGGAATAATGTCAAAATATGGATTTAGGAATAGTATTGAAACACTAGCAAAGAGGTAGAGCATGTGAGAGTGTAGCTACTTGACTGACAAATAGGTAGAACAAGTGAGGTACTTCATTGACTGGGTTTAGTTAGGGCAGGTAGTCTACTAATTAAAAAAAATTTAATCATAATCATTTTCTTGATTATCAACATAATGCAATTTTAAACTTTTTCGATGTTAATTATTTTCTTCTAATTTTGATCTCACACTGCTTTTAGGATTTTCAATACTATTACTTTTTTCACAATTTCGATTTTATTCTCTATTTCGATATGAATCCGTAAAGTCCCTATTCGAATTACAATCAAATTAAATTATTTTTCATTAATGTTATTTTCATTACCCAAAATATTAAATTGTATAATACTATATTTAAACAGACATTTCTAAAGATTTTTTAAATATTTTTTTCTAATTATTTAAAAGGATCCCAAACTCCCAACACATGTTGTGTTCATATTAAAGATAATGTTAAAAAAAAAAAGGTTTGAACCAAATTTTTTTGATTAAAAATAAATAATGAATGCATACCGTGAAAAACAAATGTTGTTGTTTTTGCCGAAGCTCGTCTTCTCCAATTTTTTCAACTACTCGGAGTCTACAAATTATGCGTCGCAATCTACAGACTTTGGCAATTCCTTTGAAGCGCATTTAATTCATAAAAGTTTTAGTATTTGACGTCACGGTAGACTTTTAACAAAAGAAACTCTGGAAATATTTTTATTTATTTTTAGTCGAAGTTTTTTTGATTATTTGTTTAGTTTTTTTTTCTACTTTTAATATTTAAAAAGATATTAAAAACCTTAAATATTTTATGCTGGTTTGTTGCTATAAATTGTTATTGCGCCATATATTTAATGTTTACAAATTATGAATATTTATTATCTCAAAAATTGTTTTACATTAATTACCCGTATAAAATTAGTAACAGCTTTTTTATTTGGTTAGACGATATTTCGTTTCAATTTGCTTTGCATGAAGTTTGGAAAGTCAAACAAAAAAAATTAGTTTGAATAATCACGTCGAAATATATTTAAAACAAATTATTTTAATGACGGGGTTCTAAAGTTTTTTATAACAAATGTAGGTAAAAAAATAACTAAAAAAAAGTTCAGTATTAAGCACCATTTCTTTATTATATTGCAACTGTAAATATTGAATTATTAACTTGAACTAAATTTACTTATTATTTAGAACGACTAAGCAATAAAAATAAAATGCCTCTAAAATTATGCGAGATTGTGTTGTTTATTTGATAACTGTTGTTGGTAATGTTGTTTATGTTGATTATTTTCATAAATATCAAAATAGCTCCAGATTAATCTGTTCGTTGCTTTGCTCATTGTTGATTTATTTCTAATTTAATTTTATCTCAAACTATAATTACATATTAAAAAGTTTTTATTTCATCAGGCGCTCTTTTTATAAAAGAGTAGAACAAAAGAGAAAGAAAAGTATTGCGCAATTAAACTTTGAATGAATAAGAGTCATCGTACCACATACAACTACCTTAAAGCTGACTGGGACTCTTTCCGTGATTTTCTTCGTGATGGCCCTTGGGTAGAAATCTTTCGTCTTCCTGCTGACAAATGTGCTTCTTACATAACTTCGTGGATTCAGGCTGGCATGGAATCTTTTATTCCCTCTCGACGATTCCAGGTCAAGCCTCACTCTTTGGTTTTCCTCACATTGCGCTGCAGCAATTACTAATCGAAACCGTTACTTCCATATCTATCAGCAAAACAATTCTCCAGAAAACAGACATCTGTTCACTATCGCCAGAAACCATTGTAAAAAGGTTTTGTCTGACGCCAAAGCTTGCTATTCCCAGGTCATTAAATCTCGTATCTCATCACAAAAATTAGGCTCTCGAGACTTCTGGAGAATCTTTAACAGTATCAATAATAAGGGCAAATCTGTTATTCCTTCTCTCTTGTATGGTTCAGACTTTGTCACCTCACCTAAAGACAAAGCTGAATTGTTTGCTAAGAACTTTTCATCAATATCATCTCTTGATTCCACTAGTTGCGTTTTACCTGACATAGCCGTCAAACAGGTTGATCCCTTGCTTGACATTCGCATCACTTCAGCTTCTGTATCTAAAGTAATTTCCTGCTTAGACTCTTCAACAGCTTGTGGTCCTGACAACATTCCTGTTGTAGTCTTGCAGAGGTGTTCTCCGGAGCTTTCATCCATACTTTCTAAACTATTTAACAAGTGCTTATCAGAGTCTTGTTTTCCATCATGCTGGAAAGCAGCATCTGTTATCCCTATTTTCAAAAATTCCGGAGAGCGATCTGATTCATCTAACTACCGTCCCATTAGTCTTCTTCCTGTCATAAGCAAGGTTTTTGAATCTTTAATCAACAAACACTTAATCTCTCATCTTGAATCAAATAACTTACTTTCTGATCATCAATATGGATTTCGGTCTTCTCGTTCTACAGCTGATGTGCTAACAGTAATAACCGATAGGTTTTACCGTGCATTAGATAGAGGTGGAGAGGTTAAGGCTATCGCACTTGACATTTCTAAAGCTTTTGATAAAGTTTGGCATGCTGGTCTTCTCCATAAGCTTTCTTCTTATGGTGTAGCTGGTAACGTCTTTAAGATTATTGAGTCCTTTCTTTCCAATCGTAGTATAAAAGTTGTCCTCGATGGACAACACTCTTCTTCACATCCTGTAACTTCAGGGGTTCCTCAAGGTTCAATCCTTGGCCCTATACTCTTTTTAATTTACATTAACGATCTTCCAGATATTCTCACATCTAAGGTGGCATTATTCGCTGACGACACTACCATTTACTCTTGTCATGATAAGAAGCCTACACTCTCTGATTGCTTGGAGAGGGTATCTGAGCTTGAAAAGGATCTCACTTCTGCTACAGCTTGGGGCTCACAGTGGCTGGTGAACTTTAATTCAGATAAAACTCAATTTTATTCAGGCCAATCGTTATCGTAATAATTTAGATCTTCCTATATTTATGAATGGTAATGTACTAGATGAGTCATCTACCATTCATCTTCTAGGATTAACTCTTACTTCTGATCTTTCTTTTAAACCGTATATCAAATCCATTGCAAAATTAGCATCTGCTAAGGTTGCATCTCTTTATCGAGCTCGACACTTTCTTACTCCAGATTCTATTCTCTATCTCTATAAATCTCAAATCCGTCCCTGTATGGAATACTGTTGCCACATCTGGGGCGGATCTTCTAATGATGCTCTTTCTCTTTTAGACAAGGTGCAAAAACGAATTGTAAACATAGTTGGACCTGCTCTGGCAGCCAATCTCTAACCTTTGTCACATCGTCGTAATGTTGCTTCTCTTTCTCTTTTCTACAAATACTATAATGGGCACTGCTCTAAAGAGCTAGCGTCCCTTGTGCCATCTACTAAAATTCATTCTCGTGTTACTCGCCATTCAATTACGTCTCATCCTTTTTCTGTGACTGTTCCTAAGTGCTTCAAAAACTCTTATTCTTCTAGTTTTTTTCCTCGAACATCAGTTCTTTGGAATTCGCTTCCTTCATCTTGCTTTCCTGATTCATATAATTTGCAATCTTTTAAGTCATCAGTCAATCGTTATCTTGCTCTACAGATTTAGTCTTTTCTCTTCCAGTAACTTCCAACTCTTATAGTGGTTGCTTGCAGCCTTGTTGGAAGTGAAGATGTTAAAAAAAAAAAAAAAAAAAAAAAAAAAGAGTTGTAAAGAATATATATTTTTTTTGCGTCACTCGTTCTTTTTTAAGATGAGAGAAATAAAAGTTTAATAGTTTAATTTTCTTTGAATAAATGAGAATTGGAAGAGAAAATTGCTTGAAAACTTGTATTTGTTAATCGTGTTTTTAAAAAATTTTAATTTTTCATGTTAAGAGACAAATGCCAATTACGACACAAATTTGGAAATACCAAATATAATATGTTTTTTAATGCGCGTTATGACATTATGACATTTTAACAATTTAAATTACCATCTATCTTGAATTATTGCCTTTAATTAATGTGTTAATTATTGCATTATTTAATAATAATTTGTCCGTATTTTGGTTAAATATTAGTTGTATAAAACGGGCAAAAATATACAAACTTCATGTTTTTTATTTGATGGTTATAAAATATTGAACAGTAAACTTATAATCAAAATTTATAATGCCGACTTGTGTTGCAATTAATTGTACTTTTAAAAATCAGGATCTCACATATCCTTTCACGAATTTTCATATCTGATACTACTGTCAAGTCTTAAAAAAAAAAAGTACAAAAATACACTAAACTATTGTTTAGTGAATTCTTGTATTTTTTTTCATAATCTTAACAGGTTCTAATTGGTATGGAGTTGCTGACATTTTAAAAATTTCATTATCAAAAATCAATGTAAAAAAAATGGTATTTCCTTTTTATCCGTATCCAATTCAGCAAATTTAGCAAATTAAATTAAATCAGCGTGATCAAAAAAATTTTATAATAAAAAAAGTTAACAATTCATTAAATATCTCTAATTAATACTGTTAGTTTATGAAAGTAATTGTTAATAAATACTTTTTTTCAACGGGAAAACAAAAAATTGTCATAGCGTAAAATAACTAGAAGTTAGAAAATAGTTCCCATTGTTTTAATAAAAATAATTAAGAATCAAAATATATAATACTGCGCTCTCTTGCGCTAAAACAAGAGACCGTATATAAAACGTTCTATATAATGTAAAATACTCGTATGAAAATCATGAGATTGGTAAGTAAAGCTTTAATATTTGTTTTAATTTAAATAATTAAAGAAATATAAGTAAGATATATAAATCTAAAAATTATTAAGATATCTGTAAAAAATAAGTTGCTCCTATAAAATAAAAAAAATTTATTGTTTTTACTTTTTACAAATTTTTTTTTGCGATGTTTAGAAAAATAATACAAATAAATTTGTTTTGCTGTATGTTAAAAAAATACTTCAGTAGAAAAACGCAGCTTAGTTTAATTACACTTTTCTTTTGTTAAAAGTCTACCGTGACGTCAAATACTAAAACTTTTATGAATTAAACGCGCTTCAAAGGAATTGCCAAAGTCTGTAGATTGCGACACATAATTTGAAGACTCCGAGTAGTTGAAAAAAATGAAGGTAAGCTTCGGCAAAAACAACAACATTTGTTTTTCACGGTATTCATTATTTATTTTTAATCAAAAAAACTTGGTTCAAACCTTTTTTTTTAACATTATCTTTAATATGAACACAACATGTGTTGGGTGTTTGGGATCCCTTTAAAAGCAATTTTATGAAGAAAAAACTTTTAAAAGAACTTATAACAATAAATACTACAATTGTAAATATAAATGTAAACAAGCAGTAAATATATATGTAAATAAACTATAAATAAACTATAAATATATTTAATTAAACTATAAATATAAGTATACAAATGTAAATAAACTGCATAACGTAATTAGATAATAAATAAAAATACAGACTATATATATAGATCTAAATATATTAATATATGATTATTGTAACTATGAATATATCAACTATTTACTGAAATATTATAGAAGAGATTATCTATTAAAAAAGTATATTTAAATCAAATTCAGTAAAATATAAAATATTGCTCAAATGAGAGCCAAATAACTTAAGAACTCACTTTTTTGGATGAATGTTTAGAAACAACAGGTGGTGATGCTTGTGGATTCTTTTTAGCAAGACTGGCCCATGTAACTTAAATAAACAGTAATATAACTCATAACAAAATAACTAAAATAGCAATAATGTTAAAATAAAAAAGACTTCTTACAAGGCTTGTGAGGCTCATCAACTTCAGGAGCAGATGGTTCAACATCATCAACCACTTCTTGTTCAGGGGAATCCTTAAAAACCAATAATTATAAACTTGAGAACAATTGATGTGAACAAATTACTGTATCAATTTATATTGGTACAAACTACTTTCAGTTATTTGTTGCCATGTTGCAATAGTTTGTTTAAATCCGGTTATATGTAGAAGTATATTAAGGTCAGATCAGGATTAAAACTATTAAGATAACCCTATTACTATTAACATGTAATTCAAAAAAACCTGCTGCCTTATAGGATTTACATATCTAAGCAAAGGGCTAGATGAGTGAATCCTACTAAAAACTAACTTCTCTTGTTTTGAGATTCTTGGTTAAGTAAAGGCAAAAGATTGTCTCTCAAAAAAGATACTCATTTAGGGCAGATGTTAACTGCATCTGGCTACTTTCTTGAAAAACCTCTGTTGATCAGCTTTGAACCACTTTTTCATCTAATAGGCTGAAGTGATGTAAACCTGTTACATTTTTCCTGCTGAACTCTTTATGTTTGTCATTTTTTCACTCCTGGTTATATAAACCTATTATTCATCCTTGCATGGAATACTGTTGTCATATTTGGGTTAAATCTTATGTGAGTTGTCATTTAGCTGTAACTGTTATTTTATACTTAAAAAACTTAAACTATTCTTGTTTTTTTCTTTAAACTTCTTTTAAATCTTCTCACCCCTTCAGGTTTTTCTGACGTATACTATTTCCAGATTTTAAAGTCTTCTGTCAACTGTTTCTAGATCTTTAACTTTTACAGCCTTGTTAGTAATGAATTTGTAATATTTCTTCAAAAATAATTGCAATATTTTTGAAGAACTTTTATTCAATACTATTTATTTGTAAATATCAATTTATAAATGAACAGCAACTTATATGCGAATACCAATATATTAAGTGTATATATATATATATATAATATATATATATATATATATATATATATATATATATATATATATATATATATATATGTACATATTATCACTTAGTAAAAATATACATTTTTTAAATAAGTATATAAATATATTATATATATACAATTTTTAAATGAGATTTTTAATATATTATATATAAAAAAGTATAAATATAATACTGGGTAAGGCATAAATAAATGATTTTTGGTGATAAAATATTTATTTAATTGTGTAAATTATAAAATTAACATATAATTGGCAATTCCATAGAAAAACATTATGTGAGTACTATTATTTAAAAATAACTTAACTATGATGGGCCCAATTTTTCTGAATACATATCTCTGTACATCCCCTGAATAAATCCGTTGTATTTGTCAGGATTTGAAAAGGAAGACTTCATGTTTTAAAAACCCCCATAAAAAGTAGAATGGCAGTAAATCAGGTGAGTGCGAAAGCCATGTTATGAGACCAAAACAAGTGAATTGTTTTTCAAGGAACAAGCTACATACAGTTTTAATTGAGAGTTGTTTTCTATCAAACATTGCTCTCAGGCTTGTGGAGCCAAAAGTTTTTTTTACAGCTCAGCTCCAGCTCCTAAGAAATGTCTGGCTCAAGCTCAGCTCTAAGTCTTTATGAGCGAAAATTGGAAATTTTGGAATATCTTTTGATCACATTTGCCGACCCAAATCCAAACCAATTACAGCAATTCATTTCTAACCAACTTTCATGATTACAAGGTTAATCTATTACTACTCTACTACCGATAACTACAGTTAAAAAGAAAAATATCACAGGGAAATTTCGTTATTTTTAATTCTACCCAGTAAGCACTGTACCTAAAACAGATATCAATATAAAAGTCAAAAATCAATATAAAAATCTAATATAAAGGAATATGTGCCATGGCACAGTGGTTAGAGCACTTGCTATATAAGCAGGAGATCCAGGTTCAAAACGAGCCTTGGACATATTTTGGCGTGACAGTAAGGAAGGAGGCATGAACTTCCTAGTTAAATGCACTTCCGCGGTGTTGTGTGACAAGACCGTTAGGTCTTCTTGGGGCACCTAAATAACAATTAAAAAAAAAAAATATGTAATAATGTAAAAATGTTTCCATATATACTTGACTTATTTTTTTTTCATAATAAAGCATACTTTTATTTAATTGTTTTGACTATCTTAACAGTAACTTTATACCATTACGATATGCATTGTAAAAGTAAAATTTATACCATGTTAAACAGAAAAAAAAATATTCATTTTTATCACATTTTGGCAAGACTAACTGTTATAAAAACTATTAAAAAAAAAGTAAATTCAATAATTTATTAAAAAAACTAGTTAATGAATGGATAAAATTTGTCTACAGTAAAAAAACAAAAACAAAAAAAAACAACAACATTCTATTCCTTTAAATAAACACAAGAGCCGCTCTATTTTTGCGGCTCTAGCTCCACCAAAAAGCAGCCGCTCCCCAGCTCAGGCTCCACATGCCTAGTTGCTATTGTGCTGAAACCATAACGAGTGTTAGTAACTGTTTTGTTGTTAAAGTGTTGGTAAGAGAAAATCAATCACGGTCACATAACAAAGAGAGCCCAACTTAGTGAAGTTATTTTAAAACAATAGTACTCACATAAAAATGCTTTTTTATTGACTTTCTAATTAAGCAAGTTTTATAATGTACACAATAAGATAAACAATATTACATTTTACCACCTAAAATCATTTAAATAATTATGTACCGCCTTGTACCCAGACACACATACACCTTGTATTTATTCATTATCTGCTAAATATTGTAATAGTTAAACTATATTTTAAAAATTTCATGTTAAACGCTTTCTGAAAAAATAATTTGAACATTTAAAATTCATAAAAAAAAAACTTAAATGTATAAAATATGTTTGATACCTGGTAATAGGAGTTTTCAGGGACATCAACTTCATCAGTTTCTAGTGATGTTTCTGTTGAAACCTCTTTTTCTTCATTGAACTCTGGGTTTTCATGAGTATCCTATAAAAATTATTTTTTAGCTCTTCATTAAAACACAAATATAATATTATAAATACATTGTATAAATTCTTGATAGATAATATGTAAAATTTATCTGTAATATTTATGTTTAGTTTCAAAACAACAAACTGAACAGTTGTACTTTGTCAATCAACTTATAACTAAGTCATAGATTTGATTACTAAGTCATAGATTTGATTTAATATCTTTTTTATTAATATTTAAATAAATAAATTTAGATTTTTGAACAAAAAACATTCAAAACAGAATCAAAATATTTTCTCCTTTAATTCTAACATTATAAACCAATTTTTGCATTCAAATAAAATGATTAAATGAATAAAACACATTTTCTATATTTAAAAGAACTTCTTTAAAAACAAAATTAAAAAAAAAAAAAAAATCTAGAAAAAAAACTACTTGAGAAGATAAGAATATAATATAAACCATAATGAAAAATGACAGTTGGGTAAAGATATTTGTTGTTGTAAACAGTTGCTTTGTGTTTCTGAAATCAACTGGCAGAACATTATTGTTTGCTTTCTCCTGCAAACAACAACACTCGCCTCCTTTGTAAAAACATTATGTCCAGACTACTACAAACAAGCTCATTTCTTTTAGATCTTACAAGTGATTTGAAAAGATAAAAAATGTAAAATCAAAAGATTAAAATAAGATGATAGCATAAAGTAGAGTGTCATGGTAACAAGAAATGATGTAACACAATTGGGAAAATCCATGTAAAAATAGACAAAAATCTGAAATTTCTTAAAATATTCAGTGGATCAATAAAATATAAAAAATGCTTCGTTGAAATCCATACCAAAGCAAAAAGATATTTGAAATTTGTTGAGAAAACAATCTAATGACAAGACTTTTTTCAGCCAGGTTTCTTTTTTCTATATTTAAAGCTAACTTTAAGCTATCCTTCAATAGTGGAGAATTAGACACCAAACAAAATCTTAAAATGGCTTTACAGATTGTTTATTACAGGCAGCGAAATCTTTATATATTATTGCCAAACTTAATAGTTTTAATAGTTTTAGTAGTAGTAGTGTCCCTTGGAACCTGTTTAAAATGAAATCCTTGGTAGCCATTGCAACCGAAGTATTGGCGAAAAAGAGTCGCAGCTTTGCTTTATAAGAAAACGTGAGCAAACGTGAAACTTATATCGTTGTACATAAACTTCATGTTATGTAATGTTGAAACATACTTAAACATATATCAAGTTTTACAGTTTGACTTTCACTTGAAAACAGCATTGCGTCAAACTCTTCTTAATTTTTGATCTTCAGCATCGATTTCCGTTAAAAACAATTATATAGTTTTAAAATTTCAATGATCAACATAGATGAGATTATGAACAAGAAATCTGTGGTTCGAGTCCAAGGACCGGCGACTAATTTATTTTTTTAAGATTTTTAAAAAATACAAAATACTCGTGAAGTTTTATAAAGGATATATACAAACTTATCTAACAATATTATACACTTTAAAAAACATTTTTTTAAAAAGCTATAAATTCTAAAAACAATAAAAAACGGGGGGATACTTGTTGCGTATGTGTCATGATTGAGATACTTATGTTATTTTAGTATTACATTTCAAGTTTATTTACAACTAAGTTGAGTTCATGCAAGGAAAATGACTATACAACGTTTATATATAGAATATAAAATCTATAGAAGTATAAAGTTTTTTTAATTTGCATTTAAGATAAAAAAATTAAAAAACAAGCAAGCTGATGCTTGGTTTTTTTTTTTTCCCATGCAAAAACTTGCCATGCGGCAACCTTAACTTTTTTTTTAAACAGATTTAAAAAGTATGTTTCATATAAGAACATTATTGAAAATTCTAATTTTATACTTAAATTAAACCATTTTATTGAATTAATTACTTTTAAAAATAATTAAAAGTTAAAACTATTTGATATTAATATAATAAGGAAATTTAGAGTTTTACAGCTATTTTACCACACCTCTGTTTAACATTCTAAACCGAGTGCACAACAACAACAGAATTTAGATATCTGTCAAAATAGTATTATACTTCATTATTATTTGGCTTTATATACCTTTTGGCTGATCCCTAATTTTAACTTTTAAATAAGGGATTGTCCATAAATTACAAAATGCTAAATTTCACTAATGAACAAAACAAAAAAGATCAAAATTTTCCTTCGCAGAGTTGTATGTTAAATAAAAAATCAAAATAGCTCATAAAAAATTTAATTAAAATCGCCACCTAAAAGAACTGAAGATCTCCTTCTTTTTTAAAAATAAATTTAGCGTTGCGTAATTTATGGATGATCCCTTAGCATTTTATAGCCTATAGTTTTTAATAGCCTAAGATCTTAGTTCTGCTATTTGGATAGCATTGCATACAAACGTCTGTAAGTGTAAATATCTTTAGCATATGTTGAGTTTGCATGGCAATAAATGGAACAATCGGGTATAATAAATTTATAAAAATGAGAAAACTTTTAAATTTTATTTTAACTATTAGAAAATTTTTTTGGTATATTAATATTTTTTTGCTATAAATATTGCAATATTTATTATAGATATATACTATTATAAAATTTTTGCTAGAAATATTGCTATAAATACAGCAAGATTGAAAAATTTCAATATTGCTATATTTGTCTTTAATCCTCCAAAACAACACTTATGACAGCGCACTAAACCACTGAGCTATTAATGATATGTGGCTAAGAGAAAAACAAATGCTCTAAAGGGTGTGCATGTTAATATTTTTGCTCTTTAAGCAATTTTTTAAAATGAGTTATTTTACGTAAAAATATTATGGTAAACAAATAATAGGTATAGAAATGATCGGTGTGAAATAAATAAGTATAGAAACAGTAGATTTGGTTAAGGCCCGTATTTTATGAGTTCGGAAAGCTAGGATATATATATAAAGAAAAAAGTATAAAAAAAGTCAGCACAGAATAGACTTACATAGACCTATATTTTTACAGATCTACAGATTACGGGTCAGATCAGCTAGTTAACTATTAATCTGTGTGTTTTTTAAGATTTCAAAACAATTTTGATGAATAATTTTATAAATGACGACTTTAAACAACTTTATCTTCAAAGAACATTTTTAAAGAACCATTAAAATAAATTATTAATCTGGGTGTTTTTTAAGATTTTAAAACAACTTTTTTGAATAATTTTATAAATGATGACTTTAAATGACTTCACCTTCAAAGAATGTAAAAAGAAATACAAATAGCAATAACAATAAATATAATTTAAATATTTAAAAAATAGAAATAATTTTTTTATTTTTATTTTTTATTTATACTACAAGGAAGAATTGTTTAAAATCCTTTTTCTTAAATCTTATTAATTTAAAAAAAAACAAAAAAACAAAAACAAAAAGATTTAAGAAAAGCCTTTGAAACTTGTTGAAATAAATATATACACTTATAAAAATTTTTTAATTTAGTATTTTAATTTTCATTCTAGCAAAGTTCAGCATATTTTTAATAAAGATAAGTTCAAGTTATTTTTAATAAAATAAGTTCAGCATATTTTTAAGGCACATTTTAAAAATATTTTCAAACAATATTAAAAGCTGTGTCAAGTTGTTAAAAAGAAATACTACATGCATGATCAGGAGCGGCATGCAATCACACCATTCCTGACCAAAACTGCCTATACAGTAATAGGTAATTAGTAAACAAACCATAGCATTAAAAAAAAAGGCTAACCACCATGATATGGAATAGGTGGCACTAGTAGCCTACAGAACTAGTAAGCTAGCAGTTAAAAGTTAACCAGTAGAATTATACTTTTACTTCTTTCTCAATATAATTTTCGTGATAATTCAAGTAAAATAAATTTTTTTTAAATAGTTTTAAAATAAGTTTCAGTTGAAATAATTTTTTTTAAATTAAGTTGCCAAAATAGCATTAAACTTTTGTTTCAATCATTCAATAAAAAAATTATTCAGTTGATTTTTAAATTAATTTAATAATTTAATAGAAACTTTAATAAATATTTCTTTGATAGAACTAATACAATTTAAAGAGCTTGTATTTAAATTGCCATAACATTTATTGCCAAATGTTATTGATACACATATTCTAAAAACAAATCCTAGTTAGAAAAAGTAAAAAATTTAAAGAAAAAAAACATAATACTAACAACTAGTTCTTCTTTATTTTCATAGTCATCATAATCATCTTCACCAGAAGTTTCTTCAAAAGCCACATTTTCAACTTCATTTATGCTATGAATTTAATACAGTTAATTACAAAAACCTCTATGTAAAAATAAAACTTTTAATTACAGGGAAGATGTAGTTATTTTAATTAGGATTTTATTACTCTAAGATTTTAAAAAGAAACAACATTTAAACATATATATATATATATATATATATATATATATATATATATATATATATACACACACACACACACACACACACACACACACACACACACACACACACACACACACACACACACACACACACACACACACACACACACACACACACACACACACACACACACACACACACACACACACACACACACACACACACACACACACACACACACACTATATATACATATATATGTATGCTTATATATATACATATATATGTATATATATATATATATATATATATATATAAATATATAAATATATAAATATATATATATATATATATATATATATATATATATATATATATATATATATATATATATATATATATAAACACACACACACTACATATATATATATATATAAACTATGAAAGTAATGAATATATATATATATATATATATATATATATATATATATATATATATATATATATATATATATATATATATATATATATATATATATATATACATATATATATCACAAACATGCAATAATTTAGAAATAAAAATAGGTGTATGAATGTATTAAATTTAACACAATAATTAATATATATTTAATACAAGAATCAAAATACAAAAAAAGGAAAATATTGTTTTTGTTTAAAAGATGTAATTAGAAAAAAAAAAAAAAAAAGAAAAAAAAAAGAATAAAATGAACAATACATTTTGTGCCAAACCAATAGCAGACACCATTTCAGCAGGTTTTGGAGATTGCTAAGACGTAGAAACGTACCTAATAGTCAATCTTCTTACCTTTCTTTATAATATCCTAAATGCAAAATTTAGCCATGAAGGAAATGAGCGTTTCAAGCAAAGATTGAGATTTCTGTTCCATTCCATCTGGATGGCTATTTTCAGTTTCGTGACGTTACTGTATTGTTTTCCATTTGGAAACATGTGATAAGACAAGTAACCCAAAATGTTTTCAACTGGATTCAGGTCGGGTGACAGCACTGGATGATCAAATAACTGGATGTCATGCTTCGTTACAAATTCCATCATGGTCTTGGCCGTATGAATCGATGCGTTATCTTGCATAAAGACAAATGTAAGTTCATAGTTGGCATGCCCATATGGCATTAAGTAATCAGAGTGTAATAATATAGTCTTCAGCTGTTTGTTTCCTTTTTAAGAGCTTCATTTCAGATAATACAGACTTGGAAAATGCACCCTAAGTCAAGACATCACCACCACCATTTTGTCTGGAAAAGAAAGTCTCTAGCTCTTTTTGTATCATCAGCCATCTTCAGGAGACAGCAGCAAGTCAGATAACAAGGCAGATACTGGAGATACAGACTATAATTCTGCAGATGAAGTAGGGGATAGAAAGCCATGCTGCCCTAACCGGAAGGAGGTGAACAATTTAATTAAGGATCTTGGGCTTTTGAAATCAAATGCTGAGCTTCTGATGCTCAAACAGTGAAACTTAGTTGATGATAGCGTACAAGTGAGGGATCGGAGGAAGCCGCATCAAAGATTCTCCAGCTTCTTCAGTCAACGTGATGGGCTGTGCTTCTGCAACAATGTTGTAATTCCAGGCTATAGGTATCGCATGTAATCCTGTTGAATGGCATCTATTCATAGACAGTTCATCCCAGACCCTCAAAGCCTATGCATCTCAAAGAGGAGTCTGATAGAACTTCATAAAGTGCTTATGCCATTGCTTCACATCAAGTTAAGCCTCATTAAGCAATTTGTTACTGCTCTTGACAATGAGTCAGCAGCATTTCGATACCTCTAAGATCTTTTTTCCAAAGCTGTCTGAGGCTATGGTCAGGGTAGGTATCGGACCACAGATCAAGAAGATCATAGAATGTAAGGATTTTACAAAACTGTTGAACAGGGCAGAGAGAGCAGCTTAGAGCATTTTTGTTGCAGTTGCTAAGGGCTTCCTAGGTAATCACAAAGCTAAAAACTATTTTAGCTTTCTTTGTGCTGTTGTCGTGTAAGCAAAGTTTGTGCTTAATGAAGTCATTTTTTCACATACTTTAGACATAAGCAATTGAAATATAACACTTAGAAGCCAGGAAAAAAAATTGTGGTACATAGTGTTATTACAAAATAAAATTTCAAAATAATTACAGAGTTATTTAAATTATTTCTAAATAAAAGAATATACAACTATTTAATACCTTATTAGTATAAATGAGTGTCTACAAAGTAAATAAATAAACAAAAAATATTTAAATACAAAAAAAAAAGTTTTACTTAGTAACATGATTGTTATTCTGATGCACAAAGGAAGACTCTGAAGTAACTTGAGTTGTTCTTTCTTTATAATCTTCATTTTCATGAGTCAAATTTGAAGTTTCATTAGTATTTGGTTCATGATTCAAATAACCTGTCTCTGATTCTATCAAAGAGAAAAACATAAAACATTAACTGCAAACTATATTTGGTAAGAAAACAGATTACAAAAATTTAATATCAACATAAATAATTTCACTAAAGGATAGATTTCCCCTTCTTTTTCAAATAATGCTGAATAAATTTATAAAAAGAGTGGCTGAAATATTCAAGAACCTCAAGAGCTCATTTAAATCCAAAAATGTAAAAATTTTTGGATTTAGATGAGTTCTTGAGGTTCCTCTCAGACACAAAAATTTAGACGAGTTTAAATTAATAATAGTCTACTAGTATTAATTGATTAAAACTGCAAACAGTTATTCTTTTGCTCTTGTTTTCTTTCTACTATCTATATCAAACAAAGTAAAGAAGCGATTTAAAAATGAAAACTTAAGAAGATTGCTCAAAATGAAACAATAATTAGAATTAAACATTTATAAAATAAAAAAATATTTCTGCTATGAATATGGCCCAGCAAAAATAGAAAATTTAATTGTATCTAAAAAATATCAAATTTATCTACTTTTTTGAATGTCAAAATGTAATGACTTTTTTTTTTTGCTGCACCTAAAGTCCCAATTTCGCAAAAACGCTGTATAGATTTTTTTCCTGGCTAACACCCTGAGGTTTTATACTTATCTTAAACCTTAGAAAATAAGTTTAGAGTTAATTAAAATTTCCAAAATAAAATTATCAAAATAATATGAAAAACTTCATAAATTGTAACACCACTTTTTAAATTTTTGTTCTTGCAAAAGAAATTTCTGGCTTTTTGATTTTTTCTTTCAAAAAAAAAACTCCTTTAATTAATCTTTTAGTTACGATGTCAATAAAAAACGATCACTTAACTGCAAAAGGCTAAAGAATTTTAGCCTTTTGCAGTTAAGGGATCGTTTATAAATTACACAACGCTAAGTTTTACTAATAAACAAAACAAAAAGAATCAAAAGTTTCCCTCACAGAACCTTATCTTAAACAAAAAATCAGAATAGCGCATTATGTTTAATGAAAACCACAGTGTAAGAGAGCTTAAGATCTCTTACTTCTGTTTTTTGAATAAATTTAATGTTGCATAATTTATTGACAATCCCTAATGTTTAATTGCAATTTAAATAATAAGTGAAAAAATTTATTTGAGTTGATAATAGTGATTTTTATTTCTGTAGATATTAATCTAGAAAGTATGAGATCATTTTTCAAACAGTTTACTTAAAACAGATTATATAAAATTTATTTTCACGTTTTTGTAGCAGTAGCATTAATATAGGAGTAATCACCCTTTTTTTTCTTCCTTTCACCTTCTCAGATAAAAACTGACCATGCAATCCTTCTTTACTATACAAATTTAATAGCAGTAAGATAAGAATATAAATTTAAATATTAATCCAATATTGGCTTCAAACAAGTCAGAACTTTATTTTTGGGATTAAAAATAACTTTTTTAAATAGTTTATGTGATACAAAGTGACCAATGGAGCCATCCAGTTATGTAGAGCTGGGAGATATAAAAAAACAAACAAACACGAAAATAAAAACATATTGTAGATAGTGTCGTTGAATAAAAAATAAAAATCATAAGAAATAATAAAATGCGTGGTAAGACTTTTGTAAAGTAGAAGAACAAAGTATAGATGCTCAAGGGGCAGGGAAAAAACAACTAACGCTCTAGTCACTCTGTGTGTAGAACATATGCAACAAAGAACAATATTCAATTTACTGATTTAACAAAAATATTTGATTTACTGATTACAGAGATTGCTGATGTACAACCTCTACAATGTTGGTGTAGAATGATGTGCTATGAAGTGAGTTTTTAGATTCAAGCATATAGTCAGCAAGCACTGTACCAACGTTCATTGTGGAGTTTCCAAATTAATGAGTGCGTAAGTGTCAGTGTAATCTTTAGGTTATTGAGCGCCGTAACCACATTCAGCAGGATAGCCTAATGTCAGTTTTGTTGTTGTGGTGTACATTGGAAGAAGTCAGGGCTCACCAGCCACAAATAATAAATTTTAAATTGTTTATGCAACACAATGATTGCAAAAAGTAACCAACAGAGCCGCCCAGTTAATTAGAACTGGGAGATGTGATAATTGAACCATATTGTAGATCATGTCATTGGGTAAGAATCATAAACAAATGTTGAGACAATTTAGTAGGACAGGCTTGGTCGGGAAGCGGGTGCGATTTCACTCTGACCACGGATATAATATTTAGTTGCAACGACGTGACCACTGCTTTTTAGATGTTTTGAGAACATTTCAAAAAGTGCAAAAAAAAAACTTAACTTGACGGGAGACAACTACTAAAAAACTAAAAAAATATTTAAATTTATAAACCAAGAAAAAAACTTAACTAAAACAAAATAAATTACGTTTAGAATAAAGTATTTCCAAACTTCTCTTTTTTAGAATAATTTTATAAAATTAAGGGGCACTTATAAAAAGTAAAAATTTACTAATAATGATCTTTTAGTTAAGAAACAAACGTTCTTTAATTTATCAAAGCGTATAATATAGTTCTTTATTTATATACCTATGTTTTATTTCAACAAGATTCTAATAAAACTAATGGTAGTTGAATTATATAAGAAATAAAAAAGTAAATATATTTTTATAACCATTTCATGGTTTGCGTAGTTGCAATATATAAGTTTAAAATATTTGAAACAATATTTCTTAAGATAAACAAAAGAAATAATTAAATCTTTGCGTTACTATAAAAATATTATAACAACCTTTTCTTTTAGAAGAGTCTTTATAATGTTTAAAAAAATTCCGCCAAGTGCCACACCCCTGAAACAGCGGTCTATTATGATCAATTTACTAACTGCAAACTATGTACACATTTAATAACTTTATATTTTACTAAAGTCCATCAGTTTATTTTACTATAAAATATGTTATAAATTAATATATAAAAGGAGTATTACATTCTAAGTAAATTATGATTTAATTTTGTCTTTTGCAAACTAGAAGCATGTTTTTATTGCATCATATTATTAGAAAGCTAACTTTAATGATTAAACGAAAGTTTTTTTTAAAATAAAATTAGAAATATGGTCTCTTTCATTTAATTACAACTTTTTTGTTGAAAGTTTCCAGCTGAGTCATAAACTGAAACACCTAATGTTGCACAAACGCTTTTTTACTACCATCAAAGATAAAACATATAAGGGAACACCCAATTACCACAGACTCAATATAAAATATAGAAGGGAAAACTCAATCTGTTTGTGTAAACTAAATTATTTTGAAAGCTAGTAAACTAAATACCAAAAACTAAAAATTTTAAACTAAACTGTAAACTAAATCATTAAAAAAACTGTGGCTAACGCTTACATTTATTATTCAAACCAGATATTTAAAAGCAGAAGAACTATCCAAACCTATGAGCTAATACTAGACTCATAACCTGAAATATAATGGCAAATCTTAAATTTTTTTTTAATCTCAGTATATATTTTGTTTTGGAAAGTTTAATTCAAAATTTACTTTCTAATATTTATAAAACAAACACAAATTGTCTAAGCACTTATTTGGGATAACTCTAGATTAAACACATTAAATTATTTTTACTTATTATTATTATTACTTATTATTTTTAATATTTTAAACTCCATGGATTAGCATAAAATATCTGGAATAAAAAAAAGGAAGATTTGAATAAGTGAATACATTTTGAGTCATAATAAAATAGTAAAAGAGTTAATACAAACATGATATGTCTGTATACATAATAAAAAGCCAACAAAATTACAAAAACTAGGCGTCCAGTTTTTGAAAAAAACACCATGCATCCAATTTTTTTTTTTTTTTACAATTTGACCAATTTTTGAAAACTGAAAAGAGAAACGAACTTAACAAATTATAAAATAAATGATAAGATAAACCAGATAATAAAAATAAAAAGGATAAACTAGAGAAAATAAAAGCATAATATTTTTCAATTTAAGAGCATCTCAATTAATAGTTCAAACCTAATAATTAGTTTAGTTTAAAAGCGTCTAAATTAATAGTTCAAAGCTAATTTTTTTTTTCTAAATTGCTAGGTTAGTGTGGTGCTTAGATCAGCATTAGACAAGGGTTGAAATCCTTTTAACAGATAATTTTTTTTACTTGGCTATATTTTCTTAGTAGACATTAATAAATATCATAGTTTCAAATTTTTAAATAATTAAGTTTCAAAGTAATTAAGCTTGGATTGAATAACTTTAAAACTTCAATCTCTTTCTAAATTATATGAAACACTTTTAAGTTAAAATAAAGACATTAATTTTATGCTTTTAGATTTTATCTGATAATTCTTTTATTTATTTTATCATTCGTTAAGATTATTTTCACTTTTTCATGGTTTGTTTATTTTTAACTTTAGTTTAAGTTAACAGTTTATTCATAGCATTTTTTAAACATTCAGATTTTTAAAATTTGTAAGAAGCAGTGGCCAAGTTGTCAAAACAAAATAAGCCTTTCCTGAGATAGCTTGAATAAAAAATTTAGGATTTTAAACATAAAATAAAACCAAAAAAGTAAACCAATATAGTGTATATATGAATCAGGGTTTTTTAAATCAAAAGGTGGATTTGCTCGAAACTTTTAGGGGAAATCTGCTCTTTTAAAAAACACTGCATGATTTATAACACATTGAAAAGTGGGAGTTAGGTGAAATACCTTTACTACCATAGCTGCACTTGCTCCAGCCATATAAGCATGTGTGTGTTATATGTGTGTGCATACACAAAAATATATAAACATAGAAAACAAAAATATATAAATGGGTCAAAATCATTATATTTCAACCAATGGCTTGTGGGTCACCATCTCTGATTTTCCTGATTTTTACATATTGTTATGTGCATTATGTAGATAGGTTAAATTTGAAATTTCATACTTCCAAGTTCAACAATTTAGAAATTATAGCCTTATAAACATGACACAGTGGCACCCCTGGATTTTTTCTCACTTTCAACAAGTGTCTCATTTTTTTTCTAGAACTATTTTCTTGATAAAATATTTTTTATAAACTTGTTTTAAATTAGAAAAATTATGACCTTATTAACTTTAGACCTTATTAACTTTTTTTAAAATCCTAAAACTGCTAAAATATGGCAAAATGAAACTGTAGCATTTTACTATTCAACCACAATTCTTTACAGATAAGTTTTATGATTAGCTACTACTGTCTGAAATAAATGGGCAAAATATAGACAGCTTTTTGCAGTTTAGAACTCAAATATATCTAAAAGCAAAATGTCCATTCGCCTAAAATGTCAAATTTTCAGCCATTTTTGTAATAAAATTACAAAATTGTAATAAAACTAAAATGTCCAATTTTCAGCCATGCTTGTAAATTTTTCTAACACTATGTTTTAATCTAAGATTAACAGCATATAAGACCATTAGACCCAACTATCTGAAAATGCGAACATTACAAACTTGTCAAATTCAGACCAAAAATGCCGGCATTTTTAAATAACCCTATTTTTCAATTATCAACAGTTGAATGTTACTAGAATGACCCCTCTAATCTGCTTACCGGCCCATGTGAGGGGTGCAACTAATTATAAGTCATTTCTTAATAAAAAGAAAGATATAGTTGGTTGCTCTCTCTTTGATCTGGTCTTTATACTAGATAGGGGCACAAATAAAGGGGGCAGTAAATTTTTAGAGATCTTTATTTTATCTCTAAATTAATTAGATATTAATTAGACTTAACATCTAAATATTTAAATTAATTTTAAATAAAAATCGTTATTTCTTTACATTCTATTTTATTAAAAGTGATCAGTGGTCTGTATGTGGTCTGGTCAGTAATCACCCCACCCCCACCAAATCAAGGGGTTTACATATTGGATATGTATAGAAAAATGGTTTGAACATTTGAAATACAAAAAGAGTGAAAATGTCTAACAAAATTTATTAAAATCAACGAAAACTAACACAAAAATGCTATTAAAACTTATACCAATTGTTCCATCAACAGTTTCTTCATTCTCTGTGTCATCAAAGTACTCATCTTGATATCGGAAAATATCATTATAAACATTGTATTTTTTCAAGTCCTGAAAAATAAAGTAAACTTTAAAGAGGATTGTTTATATAGAAGTAGAACTAGTTAAATAACTTTATAAATAAACATTCTAACCACTACACACACTACTATTTTTTAAACAGCATTTAGGCTTTCGGTTTAAATAGGTTTAATGAAAAATGTTATTAAGCATGTTTTGTTAAAGAGAAAATTTAGTATAAAATCTTACTTGTTGTTTTACAATTTTAAATTTTTTTATTATTTTAACTAAAAGTTATTAAAAATTTACTCTTTTTAAAACTTTTATATGTATAAAATATCACCCATATACTTTTACTTTATTATCCTTTTATATGGGTGAACAAAATTCAACAAAATAAATAGAATTATTAGGGCCTAACAATTTTAGTAGAAGTTATTATTATTCGTTTTTTCTTCATTTGAATGAAATGAATGTGTATGTATACATTCATGGCATTAAACAGGCTGTGTATAACAGTATAATTACTCAGTCCTGCAAAACAAGTTAACACAAGAAAAATATTTTATTGTAATAAGTTGTTTTAACTCCTATATGTCATGTTTAAATAAAACAGCACTATGGAAAACAGATAAACCACATTAATGTAGGATCATAGACATTATACACACACACACAAACACACATAATGTAATTCCATGTCAATTGACCCAGAAATTTTCTAAAATGTTACCATATACCTCAGATTTTGCTGATTTTTATACAATTGAAAGTACATAACAAAATAAGAATTTCTAGAAAATTTTAGGCTCTAACTCTGAAAATTGGGTTTTTTTTTGTCCCCAAGCTCCAATCACCACAACTTTTTGCAAAACATTCTCATTTGACATAAGTATGAACATACAAAAGTTTAGAGTTTGCAAAATACGTGTAATTGTCAAAACTCAAACATCTAAAAATCCAGTGTACACCACTGTAACATAACATGAATTTTTCTTTTTGAGGTATTCAAAAGGCTCAACTGAATCAGCAAATTAAGATTGATACATTTAAATTTGGTTAACTTATTCTGCGTAAATATAATACATTTAATTAGATTGGTAAGAGAAATGAATATTGAGCAAGATGTTATGGTAATGTTTATGCACTCGCAATGTCCTTTTAATAAACTTTTTTGTTAATCTAGAGCTGATGATTAGATAAAGGTGTTGGATTCTAACTACCAACATATTTTGTACCATTGAGACTATTTTTTGTGTTATATTTTGTAAACAATTAAATAAAAAAGAACATATTCAAAATAACAATATATACTAATTGATATTACACTGTTGGTTTCTATTTAGCCCTTAAACTTAAAGGGACTTCCAAGTCCCAAGACATGTTTTGTTCATATTAAAGAGAATGTTAAAAAAAATGCATGAGCAAATTTTTTTTGATTAAAACTAATTAATAAATGTATAACAAGAAAAACAAATCTTGTTGTTTTAGTCGAAGCTTGTCTTCTCGGTTTTCTGTGGTATTTTGAGTATGTAAAATAAACGCAATTTGCCAGGCGCATTATACAGACTTGATAATTTATTCAAGCGCTTAATTCATAGAAGTTTTAGTGCATGACGTCATAGATTTTTTGTTTGTTTGTTTAAAACACTGATTGTTATTTTTTACATACAATTTCCAAATCATATTCATTTTTATTATATTTTAAAGTTCTAAAATGTGTTTGTAAAACAAAATTAAAAACAAATAAAATTAAAAACAAAATAAATAAAATAAAAATAAAAAACAAAAATAAAATAAAAAACAAAATAGTATTTTATTTGCGCAACTTTTTTTAAATAATCGTCTAGACCACGTAACATCCAATATATATTATGGCGGGGGCTTAAAAATTAAAAAATTAATATATATTAATTTTTATTTTACGGACATACATGGAAACATAATTAACTTGAATGTTCTTAAAACATCTTGCGGAAGAATGAAAAGAATATTCGCAAACACTAAAAACCTGCCAAAATTGCAAACAAAATAATTCTATTGGTTCAAAAAACAGGCTGACTAAGCAAAATAAAGTTCTAGAGTATTCTGTTGAAATGTTTTAGGAATTGTATTATTTACGATTTGTTGTGTTTTAAGATATCTAGCATAAATTTTTTTAAGAATATATTACCAAATGAACTACTTTAATATTATGGCTCATTCTCGGAATATATTATCAAATGAACTACTTTAATATTATGGCTCATTCTCGGAGCCACATCTGTAAAGCCGTAAATCTTTTAAACTATTATCATTTGTTTACAAAAATAAATGTTTTATAAAATATATTTTTTAAGTTGTCAAAATTTTAAAAGTTAATTACAAATTATATATTTTATTAGTATATTCTTAATTTTTATATCTTTTCTTAGTGCTTGGTTTAATTAATTATTTGTTAAATTTGTAAAAAACGAACGAACAATTAATAAAATAAACTTTTAATAAAATAAGTAACTATAGTTAGCTATTTTAGTAAAATTTAATAGTAAAATTTTTAAAGAATTTTTAGAATGTTTCCAATGACGTCATACACTAAAACTCCTATGAATTAAATGCGCTTGAATAAATTATCAAGTCTGTATAATGCGCCTGGAAAATTGCGTTTATTTTACATACTCAAAATAACACAGAAAACGGAGAAGACGAGCTTCAACTAAAACAACAAGATTTGTTTTTCTTGGTATACATTTAATAATTAGTTTTAATCAAATAAAATTTTTTCAGACATTTTTTTTTTAACATTCTCTTTAATATGAACACAACATGTCTCGGGACTTGGTAGTCGCTTTAAAGTAAAAAAAAAAAAATTGATAAATTTAATTCAATTTACTTTAAAAGGTTCGTATTACAAATAACTTTATTTTAATTTCAGTTTTTTTTTAACAAAATTTACTAATTTTTTGAATTGATTATAGACTGAACGTCGATTAAAAATGATTAACTAGTTTATGAGTAGTATTTGAAGATTTTGAAAGATTTGTCTAACTACTGTCCCATTAGTCTTCTTCCTATCATAAGCAAGGTTTTTGAATCTGTAATGAACAAACACTTAATCTCTCATCTTGAATCTAATAACTTACTTTCTGATCATCAATATAGATTTCGATCTTCTCGTTCTACGGCTGATTTGCTAACAGTAATACCAATAGGTTTTATTGTGCATTAGATAAATGTGGAGAGGTTAAGGCCATCGCTCTTGACATTTCTAAAGCTTTTGATAAAGTTTGGCAGGCTGGTCTTCTCCATAAGCAGGCTTGGTCGGGAAGCGGGTGCGATCGCACTCGATATTTGACCACGGAAATTATATTTAGTTGCGAAAAGCCGGCCAGATTTTTCAGGCGTTTTGAGAACCTTTAAGTTTATGTATGTTTCCTTGTTTGTACGCAAAATAATAATTAAGTTCATTATTTTATCGTAAGTTTAAAAATATTTTGTTATACGGATGTACATGGAAACTTAAATAAACTTGAATGTTGTCAAACATCTTAGTGCGGAAAAATAAAGAACATGCGCGAACATAAAAAACCTGCCAAATCTAAGAACAATTCTATTGGTTCAAAAAATACTAACTGAAATTACTAGAGAATTCAAGCGAATGTTCTAGAGTATTCTGTTGAATTATTTTTTAAAATCGTATAATTTGAGTTTTGTTATGTTTTCGTTGAGATTTCTAGCATAAATTGTTTTACAAATATACTATCAAACTAACTATTATTTTAATACAATGGCTCATTCTCGGAGTCACATCTACAAAGCTATAAATATTTTAAACTAACATTTGTTTACAAAAATAAATGTTTTAAGTTTATATTTTTTAACTTGTCAACGTTTTGTAAATATATTATAGATTTAATTAGTATAATCTTATTTTTTATATATAAGGGATGTATTTTTTATGTATGAAATGTATTTTTATGTATGTAATTTTATGTGTGTAATTTTATGTGTATTATATTTAATGTAATTTTTTAAACTAATTTCTCGATTGATTTTGTAAACAAAAACACTTTCAATAATAACTGCGTTTTCAATGAAATTATTTATAATCATCAAAGTAAATACAAATAATTATGAAATGAACATACAAGAAGTTTAAAAATTAATAATCATCAAAAATGGCTATGTGGCATGCTCGGTTTTAGAGCCATTTCATAGGCAGTCCTTAACATTTTTTTTCATAACGCATCGCGGTTGTCTTGAGGTACCGAGTTTTCTATATCGAGATCGGTGACTCGACTACTTTTAGGATCTTTAGACTACCCATTTTCAATTTGTACCGCTAACCTATGAGTTGGTCCTTTAAGATGGCAATCAACCTTAATCAGTATTTAAAAAAAAATCATGATTAATATTAATAATTTAAAAAGTTGGTTCTTAACGTAGTATAATAACTCAAAAAATAATATCATGGCACATTAAATAATACTTTATATATAATACTTTTAATGAAATATAGTAAAATAACTATATTTATAAGTAAACAATGACTGGCAAATAAAAATTAAGTAAATCATTTTAATTTTACCTGATATTTTGTCACCACACAAGTTCCATCTGTAAACGAATAATTCAACGCTCCTTTAACTAAAGGATCTTGTAAAAAAGCTTACACCATACTTTAACCACTAATCCATTTTCCTCAGTGTACCCGATAACTGATTCTTTCCCCCAAGAAAGAAAAAAAACTTTTTAAGTTCTTAGAAATTGGTTTATTAACTTCAATTATTTTTGCTTCAGCCATTCTTACAAACTCGTTATACTTAAACTTAAAGTTACTTTTTTCTGTTTTAAATACTAGTTAAAGATATAAAGCCCACTCACTAAACATCATCAGCGGTATTGTTAAGCAGTTCCGCTTCCTCCTTACAAAGTAATTTAACGTTTTTAGTTAATTTCTATCTAGCTAATTAAATTTCCACAGTAACTCAATGATTTAGTTATTTCATTTGTTCATCTTACTAAGAAGAATTGTTTCAAATGTATTAAACTTTTCAAACTACCCGAAGCATAAAACAGGTACTGAAAAAACTTTTTTTATTTATAAATAATGTAGCGTTAGTTTTATTGGTTAAATCTTGTTGGGCTTTTCAGGGCTTAGGGCTGCATTATTTTGGTGTCCTTTTTTATGTGCCACAGCATAAAAATGACTAAAAAAAATACCGATAGGTCCTCTCGACTATTTCTTGGCCCATAACATTGTGTGTCCCGGGACTATAGCTCTTCTACCCTCCCCCCTCCCCAGCACCTCTTATTTCCAGCACTGGAAATAAGACATAAGTATATAAATAAAATTATATATAATCTTTGATAAATTGAAGAACATTTGTATCTTCATTAAACAATCATTATTAGTAAGTTGTTTCTATATATAAAAAATGTCGCTTATTTTTTAAAAAAAAATTTATAGAAAAGCGACGTTTCAAAAATATTTGCTCTAATATAATTTATTGTTTAAAGTTTTTTCGCGTTGAAAGCTATTTTTCTTTTTTAAACTGTCTCTCATCGGTCCAGTTAATCTTATTGCGCTTTTTTGCTTGTTTTTAAAATGTTCTCAAAACGCCTGAAAAATCTGGCCGGCTTTTCGCAAGTAAATATAATTTGCGTGGTCAAATATCGAGTGCGATCGCACCCGCTTCCCAACCAAGCCTGCATAAGCTATCAATTTATGATGTATCTAGAAACATCTTTAAGATTATTGAATCCTTTCTTTCCAATCGTAGTGCAAAAGTTGTCCTTGATGGACAGCACTCTTCTTCTTATTCTGTAACCTCAGGGGTTCCTTAAAGTTCAATCCTCGGCCCTATACTTATTTTAATTTACATTAACAATCTTCCAGATATTCTCACTTCTAAGGTGGCATTGTTCACTGATAATAATATCATTTATTCTTGTCATGATAAGAAACCAACTCTCTCTGAATGCTTGGAGGGGTCATTTGAGCTAGAAAAGGATCTTACTTCTGCTACAGCATGGGGCTCACAGTGGCTGGTGATCTTTAATTCAGATTAAATTCAATTTTGTTCAGCCAATCGTTATCACAATAATTTAGATCTTCCTATATTTATAAACGGTAATGCACTTGATGAGTCATCTACCCTTTATCCTCTAGGATTAACTCTTACTTCTGATCTTTCTTAGAAACCATTTATTAAATCCATTGCAAAATTAGCATGTGCTAAAGTTGTCGAGTTCGACACTTTCTTACTCTGGATTCTATTTTCTATCTCTAAAAATCTCAAATCCGAACGTGTATAGAATACTGTTGCCATATCTGGGACGGATCTTCTTATGATGCCCTTTCTCTTTTAGACAAGGTGCAAAAATACATTGTAAACATGGACCTGCTCTTGCAGCCAACCTTCAACCATTATCGCATCGTTGTAATGTTGCTTCTCTTTCTCTTTTCTACAAATACTACAATGGGCACTGCTCTAAAAAGCTAGCATCTCTTATGCCATCTACTAAAATTCACTCTCGTGTTACTCATTCAATTAAGTCTCATCTTTTTTTTGTTACTGTTCCCAAGTGCTCCAAAAACTCTTATTCATCTAGTTTTGGTCCTTAGAAATCAGTTCTTTGGAATCTACTCCTTTCATCTTGTTTTCCTGGTGAATATAATTTGCATTATTTAAAGTTCAATCATTAGCTTTCTCTATAAACTCCATATTTTCTCTTCCAGTAACTTCCAACACAAATTAATGGTTGCTTGCAGCTTTGTTGGTAGCAAAGATGTTTAAAAAAAAAAAATTTGTTAAAACCAAAATGTTAAAAAAAGGTTGACAAGTTTTTATTTATTTTTTGACCATTATGTGATCCCTAAGTGCCAAGATAAATTAGGTAATCTGCAAAATGAGAACTTTTTTGCGAACCAAGACATATTTTACTGACCACTACGGTTATTTAAAAAAACTTTGGCTCATCAATTTTTTAATTTAAACTAAATATAGTGTAATTTGATATATTTTATTTCAGTTAGATTGTATTTCTTTTAAATTAAATATAATTTATGTTTCTGCTTGAAGTCCATAAAATATATAGTAAAATAAACAATTTAATGGTAAACGGAAAAAAAACAATATCACATCATTAACAAGAAATAGAACTATGGTTGGCGAAAAAATTCGCATTTTACCGGTTCGCAATTTGCATTTTACCGACTACCTAATAATTGTGTTATAACAAATCCTTGTCAAATAAGTTTCATGCTAATCAAACTTTCCAGAACATTTTATTTATTGAGATATTAGGGAAAAAATTTATAATTTTAAACACCTTTTTTTTCTTCTCGAAGGTAAGTTTCAGTTCCAAATACTGGTCTGATTAATGCGCTTTTATAGTTAATAATTTTGACGTCAATACGAAAAAGTTCTTTCTAACTCGAGTTATAAATGTTATACTTGGGTTTTCCCTTTGCCGTTAAATTTTATGAAGAAGAATTTAATTATTTTTTTATAAAACGAACCAAACTTTAAACCAATTAAAAATAACGTGATCAATGAATAAACTCTTTAAAAGCTTAACTTCTATTTTATTTTAAAAACAAAACTAATACTAGTGCTATAAATATAAGATACGTAAATTTCAAAACTATATTGATATTTGTTAAAAACAAGTCCAGTTAATAACATCTTAAAACCGAAAATACTATTTTACTTTTTGGAATTAGTAAGAAATAGTAAGAATACATTAGGTTTCAAGGAACATAAAAATAAAATATTTTAATGGAAATAAAAAAAACAAAGCAGAAAAGCAGTAATCTTTGTTTAATAACAATTTTTATTTTATCAAAAGCCAGTTACTAAAATGCTTTAGGTAGCGCAAACGTTTTTAAAAAAGGGGAAAACCTTATCTAATTGTGTAGTTTTACAGTACATGTAAATCCCTTTAAGAAAATCAACCATAAACCAGTTACCCATATTAAAAAATCTATATATAAAGAATAAACGAAAAAAAAACATAAAACAAATGTTTTGAAGAAGAAAAAAATTAAGTTTAAATAAGTATAAGATTTTAAAATAATGAATTTTTTTTTCTAATTAACCTTTAAATTTTATTTATAAATTTTTTTTTACAACAATATTGTTTAATTTAATTTTCATTTCAAAGACTTACAACAAATTTTAATGTGGTTTTATATTTTATTACAATGAGGTATTTTAAAATACGCAACTGACGTATTTAAACTTTTAACGATGTAAATATCTTTATTGAATAAAGTTACATTTATTCCCAACAAAATCTTATAACAAGGCCTGTTGTACTACAAAGTGAGATTTTAGATTTGAGCACATAGTCATAGTTAATATCATACATTTTAAGAACTTGAGAACAGAGAAAATAAATAACTCTTACCTGTTGAGCTAGTACAAATGTTTGCATGAATTTCCTCATTGCCATACCAGAGTTAGATAATTCCCCAGTGACTTGAATGACCACACCATGGCCAATTGTGGGATGGCTGTCCACAGATCTGATTTTTGCATAACAATTGTTGAAATTCAATTGAGAAATTTTTTCATGAATTGCCTAAAACAAAAATTTATATAATAATAAAAAATATAAAATTTACTTAAACAGAACAGCAAATAAAACTCTTTAAAAGTAGTAAGTTCCATGATATATATTTTTGTAAGTATATTAAAAAGACAACAACAAAAAAATACCCATTATAAATATATAAAATTATGTAAAATGTTTTATTTGTAAATGTAATGTTTTTAAAATTAACCTCAGAGTTATCAAAAATTGAATACTCTTTAAAAATTTTATTATAAAACGACAAACTTTTAAACTTTTGAAATAAATTTAAAAACCAATTCATTAACCACAAAAAAAAGCAAATCTTAAAGAAAAATATATACTCAGTCAGGGGCTATTCTAGGAAAATAATTTGGGTGGCAGTACCCCTCATGCCAGCGCCTGCTTTAAGGAAATTTGTTTTAATTAGGCAATTTTTCTCAAAAAAACATATGCTGTAAAAATTATTAAAAGGTTCTCAATTTCAGAATTGAGGCAGCGCCCAAATACAGTTGGGTTTTTGAAAATGCATCCTATGCAACCGATTGTCTGGGACAACTTGTTTTCTTAAAGGGCGACTGAAACTAAAAAAGCAGACAACGACCAGACAGTTACTTACAAAAGAGTATTTAGTGATAAAACCACATTTTGAACTATGTAGATTTTACTCTTTGGGGTTATTTAAGATAAACCTTTAAAAAACATTTAAAGTAGTATACACTTTGTTTAATAATAAATATACTGTGGTGCATTATATAATTTTACTAAAAGTAATAAAAAGAAGCTGACATGCAATTTTTTATTTTAAAGTACTGTTTTTTTAAACATTGTTGCATTTCAAAACACGTTTCTTAAACTTTTGCGCAAAGAAAGAGTAAACAGAGAAAAGCAGATAGCTGAAAATGAAAGCATTGAGTACGTTATGATCTGTAAGGTTAGTCGGGAAAAACACTTCACAACAATTAATTTGGAAGCAACTTATAACCCTTCTCTCAGTGAATTGAAACTTTGAATTGTTTTTGGAGCTATATCTTTCCATATCTAAAGTTTAGGGAAACATGGAAAACCTTCAAACATAATACATATTCTAGCATTTGAAAGAAACAACATATTAAAAGAAAAAACTGATGTCTTAAGTGACAGCGAGTCCAATCTGCTTTAACAGAAAATCAAAAAAAAAAAAAACTTAAAAACGCTATTTATAAGCATGTATGAAGTTTTAGTAAAAGGTAAACCTTTTACAAATTTTGAATTTCATGCATCAATGCTTAAAGCTATTGGAGTAGATGTAGGAACTACTTATCACAACAGAAATGCCGGACATGAATTCGGAAGAGTCATTGGGGATTAATTTTTATGTGATCTAAGAAAAGATTTTTATAAAACAAGGTTTTTTAGCATTATTGTAGACGAAACTACGGACATTAACAGATTAGAACAATGCGATCATACATTCTTTATGCAATTAATGTTAAACCATATACTCGTTTCTTAGCTAAAGTTAGTGTTACTAGACCAAATGCAGAGCAGTTACATGAGTTTATTTTAAAACTCTTACCAAATAAATTAAAATGGGAACCAACAGTTTAAGTACTTGGAGATGCTGGCTTTGACAATGTAAAATATGATTGTATTATTTTAAAGGAATAACAAAAACAACAAAATAACTATGACAACATTAGCTTATTGTTTTCTGAAGAAGATGAATCAGTGGAAATCTTTTGCACTTATGGTTGAGTTACTACTGATGGGGCAAGCGTATTGACTGGTAAACATACAGGTTTACAAAGATGGATGAAAACTTAATGTAACAACTATATGACGGGCTCGCATTGCTTATCACATTGTTTGCAGCTTGCAATGACAGCTGCAAAGCTTTACCTGCAATAGATGCAATTTCTAAGTTTTGTGAGCAGCTATTCGTATTTCATCATATATTCACTGCAAATTCAGCAGTTTATCCAAAAGTATTAAAAACTTTACGCATAAATGGTAAAGTTTTTTTTGTTTTTCTTTCTACTTTGTAAAAATAGTTTTTTTAATAAAGTTGCTATAATAAGTTTTTTTTAAAACACTTATTCTCTAATTTAATTGTTTTATTAACATCATCATTGCATTTAAAGCATTATTGTTAGTCATATTAGCTAGAGTGATTCGTGTAAATAGAACGCTGTGAATATCACACATGATAAATGCCTTGGAAAACATATTCAATAGCAAAGACGCTCACATTGATGCTTACTCCACAATCTCTGTTGAGCATAGTTATAACGCAGCAACTATGCTCAACAGAGATTGACAACTCATGCGTAAAGGCTAACAGCTGAGCGCTGTGGCAAAAGTGCTAACTTGCCTCTACTGCGCCATACATTTTAAAAAATATTTACAATTTTTTATTTTAAAATATTTTTTTTTCACAATTTTTAAAAGTTGAACAGTGATTTTTTTTTCCCTGAAAATATTTAAATATATTATTTTTGGTTAAAAAGAAGAAGAAGAAATTTTGATTTGAATTGATGATTTTATTTGTTTGTTTCAGCTTAAGCTAAAATCAGGCCTTGTTAGGAAGTGTTTCCCTATTTGAGTTTTACGTACGTATTCACAATTTCACGTATGCGTTTTGCAATTTACATTACGCAAAAACTTTTTTTCAATAAGTTTATTTTAAACAGATTAAGCGTAAACATTAAACTGTAATTAACTGTTGCAAAAAAACGTCTGTGGAATATTTTTTTTATTAGATAAAAAAACAGGTAGATATCCTTTTTCTATTTTCTGTTTTAAAAAAAAATATTTTCAATTTATTTTATTAAATTTGAATTAATTTTATTATTATTCATAGTTTTAGTAATTTATTTGATTAAATTTAATTAAAATTCTATTAAAAATTTTAAAACGCTCCGTTTTACAATTTGTTTTACTGATAAAATTTCCTAAATTTATGTTAATGTAAAAAAAAAAAAATTTCCTAATTTAATTTAACTTTAAATGTTGGCATTACATATAACTTCATTTTAATTTCAGTTAAGTTTCAGGTAAGTTACAGTTCCAAATACTGGTCTAAATAATGCGCTTTTGTAGTTAATAAATGACCTCATACAAAAAAGCTCTTTCATATTCGAGTTTAAATGTTGTTTGGGTTTTCTCTTTGCCATTAAGTTTTATGCAGTAGAATTTTTTTTATAAAACGAACCAAACTTTAAACCGATTAAAAATAACACGATCAATAAATAAATTCTTTAAAAGCCCAACTTACATTTATTTTGTTTTACAAAACAAAACTAATACTAGTGCTATAGATATAAGATACGTAAATTTCAAAATTTTACTGATATTTGTTAAAAACACGTTCTGCTAATAACATCTTATAACCGAAAATACTATTTTTCTTTTTGGATTTAGTAAGAAATAGTAAAAATACTTACATAAAAATAAAATACTTTAATGGAAATAAAAAAAAAAACAAAGCAGAAAAAGCGGTAATCTTTGTTTAATTACAATTTTTAATTTAATCAAAAGCCAGTTAACGCAAAGGTTTTTTAAAAAGGAGAAAACCCAATCTGATTATGTAGAAAATACACTTAAATCCATTTAAGAAAATCAACCATAAACAAGTGTCCACTCATTTAAAAAAATAACAGTAAAAAGAATGTTTTAAAGAAAAAAAATTAGATTTAAAATTTAAACTGTAAATAAGTATATGATTTTAAAACAAGGAAACTATTTTTTAATCAACATTTAAATTTAATTTATAACTTTTTTTTATAACAATATTGTTTAATTTAAAGATATTTCAAGACTTACAATAATTTCTAATGTTTTTGAATAATTTTGAATTAAATTACAATGAGGTATTTTAAAATATGCAACTGACGTAATTAAACTTTTAACAATGTAAATATCTTCATTTAATAAAGTTACATTTATTCAGGTTGGGCTTTTCCGTTACGCATCAAAATCTCATAACAAGGCCTGAAAGTAATCTAATAAATGATTGGAGGAAAATTATATGTAAAATACATATATGTATTTCAATTGCTTTTTACAAATAATTTATTAAAGCTGACAAGGCTGTTAAGCCAAACTCAGTATTATATTCATCCAGTAAAAAAATTTTCAAAACTTAAAACTATCATTTAATTTTAAACATACACATGAAAAAGCATGGAAATGTTATAAATGCCTGAAAGATAAAATTTTAAGAAAACTCAATATGTATTTTTACTTCACAAGCATGAAAAGAAACATAGTTAAAAGCAAATGAGAAAACTGAGATTTCTATTTGCTTTAAAAGGAAGCCAACAACTAACGGTTTACACAAAGGAAGAAAAAACTCCACTCTAGCATTACTCATGTTTTTGATGAAAAAGTGTTGCTGTTTAATACACAGACCTAGTAAAAATGAGACCTAATAAGAATGAAACCAAATAAGAAATTATGTTTTGAATAGTAGATGGTGATAAGTATTAAATATGTTTTAAGGATGCCTGTGTTTCAATATGGACTTATTCCCCTGAAACTAATATACCATTGAGATGGTAAAAACACAACATTGTATTCAACAAATGTATTGAGTTCATTACATCCTGTGTTTTTTATAAGGAAAACAGAAACTAATCAAGATTTGTCAGAAGTTATTGTCCTAACTACTGATGATGAAAGAGAAGAACTAAATACCAAAGAAATGTTAAATAGAAGATTACTTAGTTTAGAATTGGATACATTGAAAAACATTTAAATAATTAAATTATTTTGACTGCAAATGATACTCAATAAATAGAAAAAAACATGTTTAAATTAATATTGTAACAAGATTTACAGACATTCATAACTACAGCAAAAACTTTCTGAAGACATTCATAACTACAGCAAAAATTTTCTGAAGACATTCATAACTACAGCAAAAATTTATAAAAATTTTTTAAAAACAGTTTCTCAAAACTTTAATTTAATTTAGTTAAAGTATTTTTTTAAGTTTCTATAAAAATACCATTTTTTAGATAACATAA